CGGACTCGTCAAAGGTGACGTCACGAGAGTGGAGGAAGCGGTGAGACGGCGGGTGGTAGAAAAGCCAGTCAGACGAGTCCAGGGGGAAACCGAGGAAGACACAGGGGACAGTGCGGGCAGTGAGCTTGTCCGTGCCAGAGGCACGAACGTGAGCAAGGCAGCCCCAGACGTGGAACGCAGACGCGTCACCGTGGAACCCGGTCCAAAGGAGGGTCGACGAAACCTGCGGCCGCTGGGAGCGTGGCCACAGGTTAAGCTGGTGAGCAGCGTAGCGAACAGCGAACGGCCACAAAAAATGGGGGGCATCGGCATGGATCATGGAGGTACGGGCGACCTCCATGACCAAGCCGATGCGGCGCTCAGCAACCCCATTCTGTTGTGGCGAGTCCGGCAAGGTGTACGACTGGGTGATGCCCTCCGCACGACAGAACTGTCCAAGCCGACCAGAGGCGAACTCGCCGCCACGGTCGGAGTGGAGACACAACACGGGGAGACCGCGGTGGAGACGCGCAGCCACAACCCACGGGAGAAGAACGTCGGGCACGTCGGCCTTCCGCTCCAGGGGAAACACCGTGGTGTAGCGCGTGTAGTCGTCGACGAGCACAAGGAAGTAGCGCTCACCGCGCGGTCCGGGGACGGGGGCAGGGCCCCAAACGTCCAAGTGCAGGGTCTGAAGGGGGGCAGTAGCAGGACGCAGCGAGGAGGAGTGAGGAGCACGGCGAAGCCGACCCTCGACGCAAGGCGTGCACGGTGGCGCAGTCGAGGGAGGAAGGGCAGGGAGCGACGCAGGGAGACCTAAGACAAGACCGTGCTGGGACATGTGACGCAGACGCTGGAGAGCAGGGTGACCTAAGCGGTGGTGCCAGAGAAGGGAGGGGTGAGCGAGGGACCGACACGAGCAAGCTGCAGCGACCTGGGAGGACGCACCAACCGGGGGGGAAGCGGTGTCTAGGGTAAACAGAGCGGACACCGGGTCCCGGGGGAACGTCGCAAGGGGGGAACCTGAGACAGCCTTAGAACAGACAGCGAACCGCTCGTGCCCGGGGAACGTGGTGGTGACGCCGAGGTCCTGGAGACAGCTGACACCAACCAGGTTCCTGGAGAACGAGGGAACGTGGAGGCCAGTAAGGGAGCCTGAGGGAACTGCCGGACAGGGAAGGGACGTAGAACTGCGCGCGACGACCGGACCCGCAGAGGGGTCAGCGAGAGAGACAACAGCAGGTGCAGCAAGCGGCGTGAGCGTGGAACGGTCGCGGAAGAAGCAGGCAGAAGCACCGGAGTCGAGAGTGAAGGACAGCGACGCAGTGGCGGAGGCCGGGGACGGAGCCGGTGCAGCGACTAGACTAGGCAACCTAGGCAGTCCTACGCCTGACGCAGCAGGGGAGGCTAAGCTATACAGTGGTGCAACACCTAAACTAGAGTACACAGGGTAATAAGATCCAGCAAAACTAGAAGTGTCAGAATACAAAGCATGCAAAGCAGCACCTAGCTGATCCATGTCTAACTCAAAGATCGGCACGCCCTGGCGGAGCAGGCTGTGCCAGTCGGGGAGGTCCGGGGCCGGGCCAAAGCGACGACGAAAGAGATCGTCGAGGCGGCGGAAACAGCGGGCGGTTGGGTGCGGGCGGCGGCACAGAGTGCCGCGAAGAGGCCCGGTCTGAAGCTGGTACTGGCAGGTGACAGCACCGGAGCCGCCGGTAGACGCCAAGCTGCGCGGGCCGCCACCACGGCCACTACCTCCGGAGGTGCCGGGCCAACCAGGCGGGAGACGGGCCCACTGCTGCGGCAACTGCTGCAGGGACGGTAACTGCTGCTGGGGCGGCGGCTGCGGCTGGGGCTGCTCCTGCTGCGGCTGGGGCTGCTGCTCCTGCCCACCAGTGGTAGTCCCCGCAGGCGGATTACCGTCACCACCACTATTGCCACCACCACCCCTACCCCCCTGGCGACCACGGCCACCGCGGCGCGAGCGCTGCTGCGGGTGGACCGCACCAGCCGACTCGGTGAGAGGGGCCGCCGAGGCGACCGCAGCCGAAACGTCAGTGAACGCACACTGGGAGGGGGCACAACCGTGAAAGATAGAAACTGTCGGCGCACCGCTCGACTGAGCGATAGTGCGCTGGCGAGTCTCGATCTCGGTGAGGGTGTCGACAAAGGCAGTGAGAGTGAGGTCACCCGGGTGCTGGCTAAGTAAGTGATCGCGAGCACTAGCGAGGCGGTCTGGCAGGCGCATGGCGATAAAATAGAGCGTCATGCAGAAAGGGGGGGGGAGCGCAGTGAGCTGGGCAGCAGTGCTGGCAGTGCGATAGCGGGTCTCTAGGGCACGCAGGTGAGTGGCAAAGTCTGCGACAGTACGGAAAGCTGCAAGGTCTGGGAAATGCATAGGGAAGAGCAGGCGACCAGCAGAAGCAGACGCGGGTGTGGAATAGCGGGCAATAACAGCGTCTTAGTAAGCTTTGGCCGTCTCAATAGTAGCAAAACGCGAGCGCTCAGAGACAGGGAGGGCGTGGCTAATGGCAACCTGAGCGACTGCATCGCGGGAGTCCCAGACCGCACGGGCAAGCGCAGCAGTAGAGAAGGTCTCACGGTCATCAGAGGAGGGATCAGCAGGGAGGGGAGCAGGTGCGGGGGGACGGGGGAGCAAGCCGTCGACATGGACAACCAAAGAGTGGCCATCCTGGCGCTGACCTGTAAGGTGGCGGCGGAGATCGGAGAGCCAGGCGGCGAAGTCAACCGCATGGCCCTCCGCGTCCAGTCGGAGCACGAAGTCCGCCATCGTGCAGGGTCAGCGACACAGCTCCACAGGAACACACCGACAGCCCCCTCCAGCACGGCGGCCGCGAAGCGCCTCAGCACGGGCGAGCAGAGGAGACGGAGCCCGAGGCGGCACGGCAGGACGAGCCGGGGCGAAGGGGTCAAGCAGGTGCGGTGGGGCCAGGCAGGTGCTGGCGAGGCCAGGAAGGCACGGCGGGGCCAGGCAGGCGCGGCGGGGCCAGGGAGGCGCGGCGGGGCCAAGCAGGCGCGGCGGGGCCAGGGAGGCGCGGCGGGGGCCAGGCAGGCGCGGCAGGGCCAGGCAGGTGCGGCGGGGCCAGGCAGGCGCGACGGGGCCAGGCAGGCGCGACGGGGCCAGGCAGGGCGCGACGGGGCCAGGCAGGCGCGGCGGGGCCAGGCAGGCGCGGCAGGGCCAGGGAGGCGCGGCGGGGCCAGGCAGGCGTGACGGGGCCAGGCAGGGCGCGACGGGGCTAGGCAGGGCGCAACGGGGCCAGGCGGGCGCGACGGAGCCAGGCAGGGCGCGACGGGGCCAAGCGGCGGGGCCAGGCAGGTGCGGCGGGGCCAGGCAGGCGCGACGGGGCCAGGCAGGCGCGACGGGGCCAGGCAGGGCGCGACGGGGCCAGGCAGGCGCGGCGGGGCCAGGCAGGCGCGGCAGGGCCAGGGAGGCGCGGCGGGGCCAGGCAGGCGTGACGGGGCCTGGCGGGCGCGACGGGGCTAGGCAGGGCGCGACGGGGCCAGGCGGGCGCGACGGAGCCAGGCAGGGCGCGACGGGGCCAAGCGGGCGCGACGGGGCCAGGCAGGGCGCGACGGGGCTAGGCAGGGCGCGACGGGGCCAGGCGGGCGCGACGGGGCCAGGCGGGGCGCGACGGGGCCGAGCGGGCGCGACGGGGCCAGGCAGGGCGCGACGGGGCTAGGCAGGGCGCGACGGGGCCAGGCGGGCGCGACGGAGCCAGGCAGGGCGCGACGGGACCGAGCGGGCGCGACGAGGTCATGCAGGGCGCGACGGGGCCAGGCAGGGCGCGACGGGGCTAGGGTGGCGCGACGGGGCTAGGGTGGCGCGACGGGGCCCAGGAGGGGCGCGACGGGGCTAGGGTGGCGCGACGGGGCTAGGGTGGCGCGACGTGGCCCAGGAGGGGGGGGGGGGGGGCGACGTGGCTAGGAGGCGCGACGTGGCCTAGCTAGGGTACGGGCGGAAGCGGTAGGTGGGGGATGCTAACCTACGCGTGATACCATGTCAAAGTGAGAAAGAATAATGACTAGAGGTGGAAACCTAGAACAAATACTAGTTGGTTGTACTCACTAGAAGCATACCTCAGTCTAGCCTATAACTTCTACATAGATAATATGTATAAGTTGACAATCCCTACATATAGGCGGAACCTGTGCGCACTTCGAGTACAAGCAGGACGGACATCGATGGAAGAAACGATGGAGAAAGAATACAGAATACACACTTGCTGCTGTTGCTGTCCCTCAGTACCACACCAAGTTCGACACTTTCCTTGTCAATCGCGACAGAAATGCGTACAACTTAGAGGGACAGTGCGAAGCCTGGCTAAGGTGATAGTGATAGTCTGACAGCCCTGCACTTCTGTAGTTGTGAAAGTTCCACGGGTCACACCTTCAGATTGTGTGGAAAATTGGTCAGGGCTGCAATGGGGGGGAGGGTAAGGTTACAACTCCAGCACGGGAGGTTTCCATTCCAGTCGGATGGCCAGGATAATTTTCCGTGCAGTCCGGATTTCTCAGAGAGTTCCTGGGAAACGTCCAGAATCAGTCAGGAGGTTTGTGATTCCGAAACCCTCAAAATCAGGATTTCAGCGGGAAAGACCCGGAATGTACCTGACATTCCGGATGTTTACCCTTGAACCGAGAGCCCTGAGGGCAACCCCAGCGGGTCACTCAACAGCAGTCCCCTCTCTATGCATGTTTCGTCCAAGTTCTGCTTATTCGCATAACTTGGCGTTGGACCAGATCGAACCTAAACACGCCCCGGCTACAATGGGATTCCTCTCTCGCCATTTTGGCGGAAATTTTGGTTTGTCGTACATGGCTTTACCGCCTCGTCGCACGCGTTTCAATATCGCCCAACCTCCGGTAGGTGCGTAATATTGTGATTCAAACCTGCCCGTCTGCCCCAAACTTCTTATGGCAGTTTCTCACTAGCACCCCAGAGTTTTTCAAGTGCCCCCACTTTCAAGAGCGGCGCACTTGAAACCCCCCCTTTGCTATTTTAGCCTGTGGTTTTAATACAAAATTGCAGTACATTACTCGAATGACAGCAACAAAGTAAGGCACTCAATACTATATCACAACCGTCAAGCCAGCCCGCTGATCTCACTGCGCAGGCGCATCCAGCAACCTCTCATAATCCTCTATCGACTTGAACAGCTCCGAGAAGTTCCCCTTGCCAAACCCTCCACAGCCACCCTTCTGCAGCAAGGTGCCATCTGGGCCGGGATACATGCACCCCACACGCTGAATGATCTCCAGAAACAGGGTAGGCCTGCCAGAGAGAGAGAGAGCATGGGGGGCGGGAGGGGTTGACGGAGGAGAAGAGAGGAGTTGAGGAAGGGATGAAGAGCGGTTTTTGAGGCGCCTCATTTTTGAGTCGATTTTTGAGGCGCCTCAAAAATTGAGGAAGGGATGAAGAGCGGTTGTGGGAGGAGGAGAGGTGGAAAGCGAGGGGAGAGAGAAAGGAGAGGAAGAGAGTGGAGGAGGTGAGGAGGAAGGAGTGGGGTGGGGAAGTAAGCGCAGGAGGAGAGCGGGAAAGGGGGAAGTACAAGAGGTGAGATGGGATGTGTGAAAGCTCTGCCCATGGCAACAAGCACCCCAATCAATCCCTTCCAGCTCAATCCACCCCCCCAAAAAGTACCTCCCAACGTTCTACACCCATCGCACAATATAAGACCCATCTCCCCCCCCCCATCTCTCCTACCCCCACCCTTGGCCTCTCAACGCTTCCCTCCCCACGCCCCCACCACTCCACCACCCCTTCCTTCAACCCACCTGTCCCCAACTGGCCGAGAGAATACCTGCAGCAGCACGCCCTGGTTGTCCCTATCCAGGAGTGTTTGGAGTTAACTCAGAACACACCTTCCTAATGTCTCCCTCGCCCCCCACCATCCCACCGACCCTTCCTTCAACCCACCTGTCCCCAACCGGCCGAGTGAAGATCTGCAACAGCACGCCCTGATCGTCCCGATCCACCAGCACCCCCAGCGTCTCGCAATCCTTTATAAGCTTCTCCGACAACCCACTATCCGGGCCAATCCGCTTCGGCAGGTCCTTGTAGTAATTCGCCGACGGCCGCGGCATGAAGTCAAACCCTCCCAGCTCCGTCCGCGCGCGCATCTCCTGGAGCGTCGCGATTATATCCGAGCACGAGAGCGCGAGATGCTGCAATCCTGGCCCTTCATTATGCTCCAGGTACGTCTGGATCTGGGACTTTCGTGGCGTGCCGAACGTCGGCTCGTTCACCGGCAGCAGCACGTTTTCCGCGTTATTAGCCAGCACCATGGAATTCAACCCGCTATCCAGCGTGCCCACGTCCGCCGCGACAAATTCCGCGAACTCGTGAAACCCGGTGAAGTTTAAGATGTGCCGCACCGCGTCTAGAAGCTTAGGGACGTTCCCCACCGCGTGGTCGAGGCGCGTGAGGCCGTAGGACGAGACGGCGTTAGCAGCGGGCGCGTAGTTGGGGAGGAAGGGGCCGGAGTAGGTGGCGCTGTGCTCTTGCACGTAGCGCAGCACCACGTCGCCGTACAGCGCGACTTCTGATATAGTCACGGACCCGCCGTCCTTGCTGGACCGGGGAGTATGGGGAGGAGAGTGGGTAAGGGCGGGGAGGCGAGGAGGATTGAAGCGGGGTGGAGGGGGATTGGGAGGAGGGAGGGGGGGGGGGGGGGGAGGGGTGGGGGGTGGCGGGGAGAGAGGGGAGGGGGAAGAGAGGAAGAGGGGGAGAGAGGAAGAGGGGGAGAGAGGAAGAGGGGGAGAGAGGAAGAGGGGGAGAGAGGAAGAGGGGGAGAGAGGAAGAGGGGGAGAGAGGAAGAGGGGGAGAGAGGAAGAGGGGGAGAGAGGAAGAGGGGGAGAGAGGACGAGGGGGAGAGAGGACGAGGGGGAGAGAGGACGAGGGGGAGAGAGGAAGAGGGGGAGAGAGGAAGAGGGGGAGAGAGGAAGAGGGGAGAGAGGAAGAGGGGGAGAGAGGAGAGGGGAGAGAGGAGAGGGGGAGAGAGGAGAGGGGGAGAGAGGAGAGGGGAGAGAGGAAGAGGGGGAGAGAGGAAGAGGGGGAGAGAGGAAGAGGGGGAGAGAGGACGAGGGGGAGAGAGGACGAGGGGGAGAGAGGAAGAGGGGGAGAGAGGAAGAGGGGGAGAGAGGAAGAGGGGAGAGAGGAAGAGGGGGAGAGAGGAAGAGGGGGAGAGAGGAAGAGGGGAGAGAGGAAGAGGGGGAGAGAGGAAGAGGGGGAGAGAGGAAGAGGGGGAGAGAGGAAGAGGGGGAGAGAGGAAGAGGGGGAGAGAGGAGGGAAAAAGGGAGGGAAATGGTGGTGGAGGTGATAGGTAAGGGGGAAAGGAGGGAGGAAAGACGGTGAAGGGGGGGGAACGGTAGAGAGGAAGTGGGACATGTTCGTATGGGCAAGAGAGGAGGGGTGAGGGGGTATGGGACATGTTCGTGAAATGGACGTCCATGTGGGACGGCTGGAACGGGAACGGGAACTGTGACTGTAACTGTAACTGTAACTGGGAGCGGTTGGTTCAGTAGCCCGGGAGAAATACCTTGGTTGGAGAGATGTCTGTTCATTTTCTTTCCAGCATGATCGCCAAATTCATGACGTGTGCAATCCGTGTGTAATGAGTCGATTTTTGAGTCGACTCAAAAATTGACGTGTGCTCGTCGAACAGTTGTTGTCTCGTCGAAGCGGAGAGCGCACGAGCCCAAGCGCACACGCCAACCTCGAAACCCACCAGCCCACCCACCCAAAACCCGGCAGCCCACCTACTAGCCCACCACCCACACCTCCCGCCCGCCATCCGCGCTCACCTGTCCACCAGCTTCGTTGGCGGCACCACGCCCGTGGCGCCGTTCGCCACGCTGGTCTCGTACGCTGCCTGCGCGTCCGTCACTTTCACTCCCACGGCGCGCACCGCCAGCCCGTGCCGCGCGAAGAACTCCGTCGCCTGCCGCCGCTCGAACCACGGCATCGGCGCCGCGCTCGCCGCCGCCGCCGTCGCCGCCGGCGTCGATCCCGCGGGGACGGCGCCCGCCGCGTGGTCGCCGTACGGCGCGGAGAAGACGAACACGAGATCGTTCGATTTAAGGACGTAGCTACAGTAGGTCTGGTTACCCGTCGTGAGGTCGGATTTCGCGACGAGCGGCATGCCGAGGCCCCAGGAGAAGCGGCCGGACGTGCTAGTCGCGTCGCCGCACCAGAACTCGATGTGGTGGAAATCGAGCACGTCGAAGCGGTCCGTCTTGGGGTTGTGGCGTTTGAAGTTGGAGAAGCCGACGAGCTGATCCGGCAGCGCGACCCCGCTGTCCGCCATGGCGAGAGGTTGGAAGGAGAGAGGTCGGTTGTTGAGAGGACAGGGAACACGGGAGCAAGGGCTCAGAGCGAGACAGAGCAGATGGGAGGGCGAGGCGAAACGATATGGAGATTTTGAGGGTGTGGAGGCGAACGATGGGCGAGTTGCTTTCCGAACAAGGCGTGGCTAGAGCCGAGACGCGTGGAGGACCAAAGCCTGGCTGAGAAGAGCCGAGATGAGCAAGGGCGAACGCGCGTAACGGCAGCCAGATCAAACTCGAGCTGGATGTCCAAATTCTCGAGTCTCTCGAGCTTCTTGTAGTACAGAAATGAAGACATCTCTCGAGCTTCTTTGTTGTTGCTCCTCCTCCTGCTGCTTCTTGCGGTGTGGATTGGGGTACAGTTCGGTAACCTCCTCATTTCACACGAAGAGCTCCCCATACCTGGAAAGCTCCAGTGCTTCTTTGGGTTTGGTTTGGGTTCCAAACCAGCTGGCCGGCTATGGTAACTTGTTTGTCCCAAACGAAGCTTTACTATTGGGCGCCAAACCAAAGGTTCGACATGCTCGAGGCGGCTTTTGACATTGGAAGGGACAGCGCATCAGAAAGTGGAAGACACGTGCCAGCAGCTGGATGGCTGTTGAATACCTGTAAGCATGCGCTGGTGATGTGGATCACGCCCGAACCTCCTCCTGCACTGCTTGGAGATTCTACGGTGCTGACTCATGGCCACGCTGTGGATTCCTGACCCTGTAGAAGGTTCACCGACACCTGGAAACGGATCCAGCGCCGTACCCTATTACCACCTATTGGTGTACTAATCCGGACATTTTGTACATGCATAACGAATATGAATATGTCCACAATGCATGCTTACCTCACTAGTGGTGGATATGAGCAAACGACATTCATGAACAGCATTGCACGATTACCAACACCAGCTTCGTTACAATTCTAGGTGCATCGATTTTGTTGTTGTAATACGAATTGACACATTGTGGTAGAGCAGATTTCTTAGAAAAACATGCAACAGCAGTTTCAACACGTCAATGAATAGCTCTTAGCGAGGCCTTCAACGCGCAACCATCACCAGAACACACCGATCGGAGTCGACAGCTCGGATGCCACCCACCTTCACATCACCAAGCATGATCAACCCAAATTCAACAGCAGCATCATTCCTCCATCCCCATTATCCCCTTGCCACACCCACTTGTCCCCCTCCCCTTCACACCTGCTCTGCTCCCACCAGACTCAGGAGAGGCGAAAGGCTTGGGGGGGAAGAGGAGAGGAGGGGAGTAAGGGGGTGGAGAGTGCAGAGGCAGCTGGATGGAAGAGGGGGAGGTGAGTGAGGAGTGTGAGGCGGACGGCGATGTGAGGGTAGAAGTAGTGAGAGAATGGGAGGAGGAGAGGATATGGGAAAGGTGTGGTGGGAGTCTGGGGGTTTCAGAGGAGTCTAGTAGCTTGAGATGCTGCTGGCCAGTTACTGCAGCACCAGCAGCAGCAGTAGCAGCAGCAGTAACACCATTAACACCAGAAGCACCAGCAGGACCAGCAGGACCACAAGCGCCACTCCAACCAACGAGATTATCCTCGCTGCTTCCCAGGCCCCTCAACCCCACCTTAGATTTCTCCCTCTCCTGGTTTTCTGTAGATGATAAGCACACGAGCATATCTTTGGTGGAAGAGAATGGGCTGTACACGCCAGGTGGCACGCCTCTTGAGACGCCAGGTGGCAAGCCAGAGGCGGTGACATGGCATACACCACCCTCCTCATCCTCCTCCTCCCTCTCCCCCTCCCCCTTCCTCTCCTCTTGATCCGCCACCTCCTCTCCATTCACCGCAAATGCCTCCTCCCCTTTCTCCTCTACATCCACACATCCTGTAATCCCACACTTCACCATGTTGAGCGTAGTGGCAGGGGGAGCCGTGACAGCACATGGTGTGACAGCATACGGCATGACAGCAGGTGGTATGACGGGGGCCGTGACACCAGGGGCCGTGACAGGGCATGGTGTGGCAGAAGGCGGTGCAGCAGCTGATGGTGTGACAGTGGGCGAAGTGAGAGTGTGCAGCGTGATTAAACCAGTGGGAACAGTTCTATAGGAAGGAGGTACCCAGGAACCACTGGAGAAGGGCGAGGGGCTGGTAGTTGGGGAGGTAGCAGCAGGAGTGAATGCAGGTGCATGGGATGCATGAGGACGAGAAGGAGGATGGGTGGGAGGAGGAGGAGGTATGGAGGCAGCGGCAACCAGCGAGGAAGAGACCGAAACATCAGGAGGAGGCGTGGCAGGGAAAGTACGCTTACACGATGAGTGGCTAGTGGCAACGCTGACAGAAGAAGCGAATCCCACTGTTGTGACAGCAGCAGCAGCAGAACCGAGTGGGGACGGTCCTGCTGCATTTGTTGTAAGCTCTAAGACTCTGGTTGCAGCAAGGGCGGCGGTGATGGGTGATACTCGGGGGGAGTTGGGCCCCATGCGGTATGGCTGCGAGGAGGGGAAGGAGAGACGCGGCGGAGGTGTGATGGCAACGGGAGAAGCAACATTGCCAGGATCAGGTGCAGCAGCAGTAGGAAGGGGGGGAGTAGGAGGAGAGGCAGTGCAAGGGAGCGAAGCAGGAAGATACACGGTGGGAGTGGAAACAACAGGAGAAAAAGCGGTGGAGGGGGATGCAGTGGGAGGGCCAGGATGCACCCTAGAAGCCTTCAGGAGAGAGCCATGGGTGCCCATGAGCGACAGCCTGCTGCTGCTGCGCACCCGAACCACTCCTTCCTCCTTCACCCCGCTGTCTCGTGCGCGCGCGCCGGATGCAAACGGACGCATGGCGGCGGTGCTTGCAGTGGCCGTGGGGGTGGTAGGAGTGGTGGGGGTCGACGCGGTGGCGGCGGTGGTGGTACTGCTGCTGAGGTTGCTGGTAGTGGTGTCAGCAGCACAAGTTCTTAGAACGTTGAGCTGATTCGCTGCAGCAGCAGCAGCAGCAGCACCATTGGTAGCATTGTCGCCAGCAGCAGCAGCAGCGGGGAAAGATGGAGCAGCTTCTTCACATGTAGGCACCGGGAGAGCATGGCTCGACGCAGCAGCGGCAGAAGAAAAGGCACCACCGGCAACACCAGCAGCAGCAGGTGGAGCGGCAGGTGGAGCAGCAGGTGGAGCGGCAGGTGGAGCGGCAGGTGGAGCGGCAGGTGGAGCGGCAGGTGGAGCGGCAGGTGGAGCGGCAGGTGGAGCGGCAGTGAGTGCAGCAGGGGGGAGCGGAAACAGCTGAGCAAAGCGGTCGCGGTAACGAATAGGGCGAGAGAACGGGGAGGCCACAGGCGAGGCAGCGGGGGACGGGGGAGAAACAGGCGCAACACCGCGGTGGCGAGATGGGGAATTCGGTGCGCTCTCCAACCCACCCCGCCCATCGCCGTAGGCCCCTTCTCCCCCCCCTGCTGCTCCCCCTTCCCCTGCTGCGGTGTCCCAGCCCACAGTGCCGAGAACGCCAGCAAGGGAGAGCGGCGGCGGGCGGAGGCGGAAGGCAGGGAAGAAGTTGAAGGCACGGGCGCGGGGTGACATGGGGGCCTGCTCTGTGCGCTGCTGCTGCTGCTGCTGCTGCTGCTGATGTTGATAAAGACGCTGCTGCTGGTGGTGCTGCTGCTGGTGCGGGCCCTGCTGGTTTCTCTGCGTGTGCTGCAGCGGCGACTGCAGAGGACTGCCCGGCTGGCTAGGCTTTTCTGTCAAGAGCCGAAGCACGTCATCCCTCCCCTGCTCCTTCGCCGTAACCCCCTCCCTCTCCCCCGGCTCCACTGGCAAAACACCATGCGCCGGCAGGGCAGTCTGAGACGGCAGGGCAGCCTGAGACGGCAGCAAGGTAGCAGGCTGCGTGCCCCTTGCGGAAGCAACTGATCCGTTCCTTGCTGCAACCTCCTGCGCACACGGCTGCATGCGCCCATATCCGTACCCATGCGCATGCCCATACCCACTCCCATGCCCACACACATGCCCATGCCCACCCACATGCATCAGCCCAAGCTGCGTGCGTGCAACTGCAACCCCAACCCCCTGCGCAACCCCCTGCGCAACCCCCTGCGCAACCCCCTGCGCATGCGGGTTATGGCGCACCATCCACGGGTGCATCAGCACGTGTGACAGCGGCACCCGGCCCTGCGGCGTCGCGCACAGCATGCGCCGCACCAGATGCTTCGCCTCGCCGCTGATCAACGGCCAGGGATGCCGCGTCAGATCGGGCTGCGCGCGGCAGATCGACGCGAAGATCGTCGCGTGATCCTTGCCGTAGAATGGCAGGACGCCGGCTAGAGCCGTGTACAGCACCACCCCCAGGCTCCACACGTCCACGGCGAACCCGTACGGCTGGTGCTTCACTATTTCAGGCGCCATGTAGAAAGGGCTCCCGGCTAACCCGCGCACCTGCTGCCCGCGATGCAGCACTAGAGAGAGCCCGAAATCCGCTACTTTCACGCGCCGCCTCCCCGCCTCCCCCTCGTCTCCCTCCTCCTCGCCTTTCTCTGCGTGCCCAGACGCGGAGCTGCTACAACCGGTGGTAGACGTAGCGGGATCGAGAGCGGAAGCGGGGGCGTGGGCGTGGGCGGGAGCGGAAGCGGAAGCGGAAGCGGGAGCGGGAGCGGGGCCGGGGGCGGAGTTTATCAAAAGGATGTTTTCGGGTTTAAGGTCGCGGTGCAGTATAGCGTTAGTGTGCATGTGCTGTACCGCGTACACGACCTGCCGGAGCATCAGCGCGGCTTCGCGCTCGCTTAGGCGCTTTTTCCGCGCTATAAACTCGAACAGGTCGCCGCCCTCGCAGTGCTCCGTTATAACGTGCACGGCGGCGCGCGCGGCGTCGACGACGACCTCTCTTAGCGAGACGATGTGCTCGTGGCCCCTCAGGCGCAGCAGCATGCAGATCTCCGCGCGCAGCTCGTTCACGTCCTCCTGGCGCTGGGGGAGGAGGGGGGGTGGGTGGGGTGGGGGGGAGGAAAAGCGGGGAGAAGGGGGAGGGAGGAGGGGTCCGGGGGGGGGCAACAGTTCGTCAGAACAAAATGATTGGATAACGAAATGCGGAAACGGGGGATGGGGGATAGAAGCAGATCTGCGCAGCAACAGGCTGATCCCCGCGCGCAGCTCGTTCAACTCCCCCTGCCGCCGCCATGGGGGAGCGGGGAAAGGCGCGGAAAGGGGAGCGAGTAGGGCAGGGGCGGGGAGTGGCCGGAAGCGGGAGAGTGCGGGGCAGGGAGGAAAGAGGAGGAGGAGGGGGGGGGGGGGGGGGGAGAGAGGGAACGGATGAGACCACGCGATTGAGAGGGTGCAGGGGGCGGCAGATCGAGAAGAGGAGAAGGATTTGAGGTGGTTACGGAAGGGAGGGATGCGAGAGGAAGGAGAGGAGGAGAGAGACATCATGATTCATAAAATAGGGTTCTACTACGTGATGAAAAGTTCGCCGTAGAAAGACCTCATCTCTACATCCCCTCCACAAAGAATCTCCATACAACCACAAGACCAGCTGAACCAATCACTACAGTGAATCGCACCTTCACGTTCGATAGAAGCACGGATTTGCACGCAAACTGCTCCCCCGTCTCCGCATCCCAGCACACGCGCACGACCCCGAAATGCCCGCGCCCCACCTCCTCCCCCAGCCGATATAATTGCTCCACGCTCGCGCACACCCCGCTGCTCCCCTCCACTCCGCTGCACTGCTGCTGACTTAGCGCCAAAATCGTGCTCCCACACTCCCCTTCCTGCCCAGAAACAGTCAGATCTGGGCACAGCTGCAGCTGCTGCTGCTGCTGCTTTCTTAGCATCGCTATAAGCATCTCCTTTAGTGACTCGATACCGTCTAGCCTCTCGTCCTTCCCCCCATGCTGCCCGTTGCCGTCTTGACCGCCTCCCACACTCCCACCACCACCGCCGCCAATCCCAACATCCTTCTCCCGCCCACCGCTGCTCCTCCCCCCGCCATTGATATCCGCGGTATGAGCCTCTCCGCTGCTGGCATTAGCAGCTCCCCCAGCAGCAGCAGCAGCTGCAGGCCCGTCTATCCCTTGCCTGCCCACACCAAGGCTTTTAGAGTGAAGCAGACGTGCCGCCTGCTGCTGCCGCTGCTGCAGCACCCACCGCTCCAGCGTGCGAGTGAGGGAGAGCGCAAAGGAATGGAGCCGCTCGACGGACATACCGTGATCCAGGGAGAACCGCAGCACCTGCAGCCGCTGCGCCGGCCGCATCTCCTGCGGCGGCGGCAGGTGCTGCCGCTGAGACTGTACCGAGTTGCCGTGACTCCTCCCGCCGTTGACAGCACTCGCCGAGCCGCTTGGAGCCTTTGACTTGGTTGGCTCCGCGGGGGCATCTTGACCCGCGCGGAAGACGAACTGTGCGGGCGGGGAGGCGTCGGCGGAAGACGCGGGTCCGCCAGGGGAAGACTGCGCCGCTCCGGCGGACGCCGCCGCTACCGCGGCGCGCATTTCCGGGGCGACGGGGGCGCATATGGCGGCGTGGGTCGCGGCGCCGCTTGCGCCTGCGCCAGCGCCTGGCGCGCAGAGCTTGTTGCGGTCGAGAGCGAGCTTGAACGTATCCGCTAGAGCTTGCGCGGAGCGACCCAGTAGCGGGGAGCCGCTTGTGACAGCAGCAGAAGTAGTGATAGTGGTAGCAGCAGTAGTGACATTCGTAGTGGCAGGAACTCGGCGCGAGTTCTTACGAGTGTAATGACTCCCCGGTAACTCGGGAGGAGCAGCATCATACGCGGAAGCCGCATCAGGTCCGTCGCTCGCCCTGGCGGCGGCACGACTCGCGCCGCTGCTGCTGGCGCCGCCGCCGCCGCCGCCGAAGCCGGAAGCCGCCTTGTGGCATGCGCGGAAGGGGAAGATGCACAGCTGCGCGGTTGCTGACGCGGCGCTTTCCAACGAGTCCAGCATTACTGGCGCGGCTGGTAGATCCGCGAGGGTTTCGCGCAGCTGCGAACAACAGCACCACCACTGGTGCTGGCAGCACCAGCGAAGCGCCTCCTCTCCTGGCTCTTCCACGTCGATTGGACTCGAGGAGCTCGAATCAAAGGGAGACGACAGTGAGCCAGTCTGCCAGGACGAGTATGAAAGAAAGAGATGAGAGAGTTAGTTGTGGTAGCGTGTGGAGGAGTGGAAGCAAGAATTGGTTTGACCCAGCATCAGCATTGAAGGCCCCCTCGGCTTGGATCTTACAGGTTCTCACAGCAGCAGCAGCAGCAGCAGCACGCTGCAGCAGCAGCCGTTAGTAGTAGTAGGACCGTAGTTAGTTTCTGCCTCAAGTCGCGAGCTCCACCGGCAGTGCGAGCGCGGCGGCAGGTCTGGCTCAAGTAAATCTGGGTTCAGGCCGTTTGTAGTTGCAATACGCCGGTCCCACACACACACAGGGAGTGAACCACTGTCTGTAGGCGAGGGGAAACCAGGGAGGAGCTTACAGTACGGCTCACGGGCTCACGGTGCTCACGGTGCTCCCAACGGCTTCAATCTGCACCTAGACGGCTGGAACCCTCGTATCGATGACGAACGATCATAGCACGATACCCGCCGACTCTCGACGGGAGGGACTCCATCGGAGGAGGACGGTTGACAAGCAGCTTGCTCCTTGGAGATGCGCCGAGCACAAAGAACGATGCTATGTGATATTCACCTACTATATCCGTCGCGCGCTCGTTGAGATTTCGGACGGAGCCAGGGTCGTAGGTGGGGCGTGGTGGGGTGAGGTGGGAACCGGGAGGAAGCCCCCAGCGAAAGGAGCCTGACTTGGAGTGGGGGCCACCGCGCCTGCTCCGCCACTCACGTCGCGTCGCACACGTCACTGCGCGAATGGTACCTTGCGTGCTGCCTACCCATTCGCGCTTACTACTAACTTGCGCCCTGCCCGCTGTCGTTTGGGTTTGCCAGCCCCCGGCGGGAGCAGGAAAGCGCGAGCTGGCGCCAGCAGGGGCCGTCCCCGCTGGGCACAGCGGGGGTTTCCATCCCCTTCCGCTCCATTTCTCCCGCTCCGTTCGGTTCCGTTCCCCGTTCCGCGTGGCCCCGCGTAATCGCTAGCGCAAGGTCTCGGTTTTCCGCTTGGCCAATGCGGCGGGTCAAGGTCTTCGCGCGGCTCCGCTGTGGGGGGCAAAGAGATGAGTGCAGAATCTAGGAGGTAGAGGATTGTGGTCCCGAACAGCTCACAGTTTGGCTCACTTGGCGAGCTGTGAGAGGTTTAAAGGTGAGGGAGAACACATGCCTGCTTCCCGTTAATTGGCATGTGCGCGCATGTGGGGTAATCATTTATAGAGGACTAATAGCTAGAATGCAAGTACGAGTCACGAGTCACGATTCGGGCCTTGCGCGACCAGCGACATGTGTGCATGCTCGATAGCAGGCCGCCCGCGCTTCGGGAATTGTCGTGGTGCTGCATGAGCACTTGCTGGTTCAGGGAGAATGGCCAGCTGGCGAGCAGCTGGGGCAGTTCCTCGAGATTGGTGCTGTAGTATTTCGCGATCGCAATTGCGATCGCGAAAAAAGATTGAGCAGTACGAGATGATGCACTTAGGATGTACGAGTGGCGCTCGTTATAACCAAAATAACATGCTTTGATGCATTTCATAATATAATGACGACCTTCGAACAAGCTAGAAGAAACTTACTGTAAGGAATTACGATTCCTTACTGGGGCTCTCCACAGCGAGTACACGCGAACCTATCGGGTCCGCAGGCTCGGCCCTTGGTTCTCGCGCCAAACCAGCCCCCACCGACCTCATCGGCCCCAACCTCATCCCGACTCGCCCCAAACCCATTTTGACCCCGTCACCCTCGGGGCTATCGAGCCCTTGACTGGTCCAACCCTCGACATTCAACACTGGTCAATCGTGTCAACATATAATTTGTATATGTTAAGGTGTTAAACTAAGCTAGGTAGGAGGGTGTCAAACATTTGTATCTCTAATATTTGTATAGACTGTATTGTCAAACATGTTTAGTTATCATGCTTGTATAGACTGTATAGGGTTATCTTCTAGAGAGTACAACATTTAGGTATATGTTTGTGTACTCTCTCTCTCTATTCATCAATTTCACTGTTTGTTATGGTATCACGCGTAGGTAGGATCCCCCCCCCCCCCCCCCCCTCACGCTTCCACTCGCCCCCTAGCTGGGCCCCGTCGTGCTCCTAGCCCCGTCGCGACCCTCCCTAGCCCCGTCGCGACCCTCCCTAGCCCCGTCGCGCCCCTTCCTGGGCCCCGTTGCGCCCCTTTCTGGGCCCCGTCGCGCTCCTCCCAGGCCTCGTAGCGCCCCTCCTGGGCCCCATTGCGCTCCTCCCAGGCCCCGTCGCGCCCCTTCCAGGGCTTCGTAGCGCCCCTCCAGGCCCCGTCGCGCCCCTTTCAGGGCTTCGTAGCGCCCCTCCAGGCCCCGTCGCGCCCCTTCCAGGGCCTGGTAGCGCCCCTCCAGGGCCCCGTCGCGCTCCTCCCAGGCCCCGTAGCGCCCCTCCTGGGCCCCATTGCGCTCCTCCCAGGCCCCGTCGCGCCCCTCCCTAGCCCAGTCGCGCTCCTCCCAGGCCCCGTAGCGCCCCTCCTGGGCCCCATTGCGCTCCCCCCAGGCCCCGTCGCGCCCCTACCTGGGCTTGGTAACGCCCCTCCAGGCCCCGTCGCGCCCCTACCCATCCTCGTCGCCCCTGCCCGGCCCTGCTGTGGCCTGCCCGGGCCCCGTCCCTGCCGCCCGGCCCCGTCGCCGCCGCCCGGCCCCGTCGCAGCCGCCCGGCCCTGTCGCAGCCGCCCGGCCACGTCGCAGCCGCCCGGCCACGTCGCAGCCGCCCGGCCACGTCGCAGCCGCCCGGCCCCGTCGCCCCTGCCCGGCCCTGCTGTGTCCGGCCCGGCCTCGTCCCTGCCGCCCGGCCCCGTCGCAGCCGCCCGGCCCCGTCGCAGCCGCCCGGCCTTGTCGCTGCCGCCCGGCCCCGTCGCCGCCGCCCGGCCCTGTCGCAGCCGCCCGGCCCCCTCGCCGCCGCCCGGCCTTGTCGTGCCTGCCCGGCCCCGACGCACCTGCCCCGGCCCTCCATACTTCCTGGTACTGTCCCCCGTTCCCCGCACCACTTTGCACCCTCCTGCACTTTCCTGCCCCGCCTTGCATCGCATTGCACCTCACTGGATCGCACTGACCGCACTGGACCGCACTGCACCGCACTGCATCGCACTGCACCGCACTGGACCGCACTGCACCGCACTGCATCGCACTGCACCGCACTGCACTGTCCTCCACTGCCCCTCATGGCTGCTGAGCTTCGTTTTGATGTTGAGGGTCAGCCTCTGGAGTTCGAGGCGTGGTTGGCTGACCTTCGCCGCCACCTCACTGGCCAGCGGCAGGACGGCCAGCCGCTTTCTGCACACCTAGACGGTATGCTCCCCTGCCCTGACCCCCCTGCTGTGCTGCCCGCTGATCCCACGCCCGCTGAGCGCGAGTCCACTGCCGCTGCTGCCCTTGCCCGCTCTGTCTGGCTTTCCCGCGATGCCCTTGCTCAGCTCGCCATTAGCAATGCCCTCCCCCCACTGAGCGCCCTCGCTTTAGAACCGTTCCTACCGCCCAGGCCTACCTCGATGCTGTCATCAAGCGCTATTCTACCCCTCCTGCTGCCTCAGTGGGTCGCCTGATCCTTCCCCTGCTCTTTCCTGACCTGGCGTCTTTCCCCACTGTCTCTGACCTCGCTGCCCACCTGCGCTCGATAGATGAGGCCTGGCGCGCTGCCTGCACTGATGCTCAGCTTAGAGTCCACCAGCCTCCCATGACCTCTACCCTCTACCTCCTTGCCACCCGCCTACCTGACCGCCTTGCCGCCGCCCGCGACCAGTTCCTTAGCATCCACCCTGCTGCTCTCACCCTCACCGACTTTGTTGACACCCTGACTGCCATAGAGACTCGTCACCGCTCCATAGCCCTGGCGAGCGGTACAGTACCGGTCCCTATCTTTCAGGGTTGTGCCCCCGCTCAGTGTACCTTCTCCGACGGCTCTGTCGCTGTGGCTGAGACTGCTGCTGCAGTGCAGTCCCGCTCGGCGAAGGGCCGCCGCCCCAAGGTTGGGAGCGGCGGAGGCGGCGGGGGTGCGGGTGGGGGTAGTGGTGGAGGCGGGTCGTCCGGTGCCAGTGCGGACGTGGGGACCCTGCCCGGTCCAGCTGCCCCGCTGCCTCCACAGTTGCAGCAGCCGCAGCAGCAGCAGGCGCCGCAGCCGCAGCCTTTGCAGCAGCCGCAGCAGCCGCCGCAGACGAGGCCGGCGAGTACTCTCCCACCTGGGTGGCCTGGAGCTGGTGGTGGTCGTGCGCGTGGTGGTGCACCGGGTGGTGGTTCTGGAGGCGGGCCCTGTCAGTACCAGATCCAGACCGGTCCTCGCCGCGGCTTCGCTTGCGGTAAGATCGGTCATTCTACTCCTCGCTGTTTTCGTCGCCTGGACGACCTGTTCCGCCAGCGCTTTGGCCCGGCGCCCGACCTCCCGGACTGGCACAGCTTGCTTAGGCGTAGCGTTAGGATTTTTGACTTGGACATGGATGCCATTGTAGCAGCCTTGCATGTGATGTATGCTGATGACTCTAGTGTGCTTCCCTCTTATTACCCCGTGTTGCCTAGTGTAGCGGTGCCTAGCGTAGACTCCCCTGCTGCGTCAGGCGTAGGATCTCCTGCTTTGCTTAGCCTTGGTGCTTCCACCGCTTCACTGCTGCCTCGCGCGACTGCTGCGCTTTCCTTCACCTTGGACTCTGGCGCCTCCCGGTGTTTCTTCCGCGACTCCACGACGCTGACGCCGCTGCCTGTTCCCGCTGCAGTTACTCTTGCTGACCCCTCCGGTGGTCCCGTCGTTGCCCGCAGTTCCACCTCCCTTCCCTGTCCGGCGGTTCCTTCGGGCACTCTCACAGGTCTGCATATCCCTCGTTCTCCAGGAACCTAGTTGGTGTCGGCTGCCTCCAGGACCTTGGCGTCACCACTACGTTCCCTGGTCACGAGCGGTATGCTGTCTGTACCGAGGCCGCCACTGGTGCCCCCTTACCACTTTCCCCCGGGACCCGGTGTCCGGCCTGTTCACATTTGACACCGCGCCGTCCCCGGCTGGGTCTTCCCCCCGGTAGTTGCGTCCACCCAGGTTGCAGCCGCGTGCTCCTGTCGGTCCCTCACTCACCCGACTCTCCTTTGGCACCACCGCCTTGGTCACCCTGCACTCCCACGTCTGCGTCACATGTCCCAGCACGGTCTCGTCCTTGGTCTCCCCGGTTCGTTCCCCGAGTTTCCCTCCTCCCCCGCCCCACCGTGCACGCCTTGTGTCGAGGGCCGGCTCCGCCGTGCCCCTCACTCCTCCTCTTTTCCCCCTACCACCGCACCACTGCAGACTCTGCACATGGACGTCTGGGGCCCAGCCCCGGTCCATGGGCCGCGTCGCGAGCGCTTCTTCCTAGTGCTTGTCGACGACTTCACGCGCTACACCACCGTCTACCCCCTGGAGCGGAAGGCCGACGTGCCTGACGTTCTCATCCCCTGGCTTGTCTCTGCTCGTGTCCACCGCAGTCTCCCTGCCTTGCGCCTTCACTCCGACCGGGGTGGCGAGTTTGCCTCAGGTGTCCTTGGTCGCTTCTGTCGTG